GGTGAAGCAAGACCCTGGGATTTACTGACCCCGCTGGTACAAGGAACCCCTTTTCATCGTTTTTCCCGGCTCCAGAGCTCCCGGACAGTTCAGCTGCTGCTGCCGGGGGACACAACTGCTCCGGGTTTGCGCAGGGAGCAGGGAGCGTGCACCCAGGTGAGATTTTTCAGGGGAAGCGGAAGGGGGAAACGAAGGCGAGATCTGCACGCTTGATACCCAGCGACACCTTTGAACCACCCGCGTCCTGACGGAGAGGAGCCCTTGCATCCAGGGCGCGTTATCTTCCTTCCCTCCCTCCTAGGACTGGGTACCGTTTGAAAACGAATCCACGTACCCCCTGCCCTGAAACGTGTCCCCGGTACTGCCAGGTGCGGTCACTGTCCTCAGCTTGGTGGTGTCTGAACAGAGGTTTCCCAGACGAAGCCCTTTCCCAGATCTCGGGGTCCTTCCCCGTGTGCGCCTGCCTTTAAGCGACCCAATAACACCACGTCCAAAAATCTAGCCTCGTGTCCAAATCCTGCGCTGGATCGGGGCTCCTGGTACAGCTCGGTCCTGAGCCCGCTGCAGAAACGAAAGGCTTTTCTGTGACTTTGAGGGCTTCGCTTCCAGTCTCACCCTGTGCTAAAATTTGGAATCACAGTCACTATTTCCAACGTTGTTATTTTTTTTTTTACCTTGTAAAACAGACTTTATTTTTCTCCCTGTAAATTTTGCGCGATATACATCTACCTAGCTATAGAATACACCTCAATAAAAAGCTTTTTGTCCATACATTATATTACTTTTTATTTAATGTCATGAAAAATTCAGACAATGCTTTTGTCCTTAAATAAACAGTTCTCCCTCCCCTGCCCTCCCTTCCTAGCTGACTGGTCGGAAAGAGGAAATTTTATTTAGTTATTTTCTTTTCTTTAAAAAAATAGAAATTACAATCTTACACGACAGAACATTCAATGAGAACAGAAGCATGTTCCTAAATCTAAAAAGTAAAACGTTTCCATAAAACCTGTCGGTATCTACAGGTAGGGGTGTGTGGAGGGTGGTAAATGGAAAAAAATGTTTTCCATTTCTTCCTTTCATTCATATAGATAAAAAATAACGTAAAACCGACTGAAACGTTATATATTTTTCTCTTTTGCACCAACATTCACAAGAATATATATTATATATATTTTATCCATTTTTATACACAGTGTGAGGGTTCTGGAGGTGGAAATGCACACTCAGCTAAACTGCCAGAGCAAACAAACAAACACAAAATTAATCTTCATCCGGAAAAGAGCAATCCCTCGCGGCCGAGGTCGCCCCGCGCAGGGGGACCGCTGCCGAGGTCCGTTTGAAAATAAAGCAGCAAAACGTCTCGCGGCCGGTGGGACGGAAACGTCTCCGAGACGCCGAGGACCCCAGCATCGAAACGAGTCGGGGGGGGGTCTCGGGGCTCCCGTGCGTCACCTCCGCCGGCCCCACGCACAGCTCCAGCGCAGGGGAGAGCGGACACCTCCCTTTTTCGGGCCTTTCTGCCTGGGCTGTTTCGCTCGCCCGTTCCCTACAAGCTCGATGCCTGGCTCTGCCGAGCAGCTGTCCCTTGGTGGCACAGAGGGAGCGTGAGGGACCTTGGCACTGCCACCGCTGCCCTACGTATTCAGGCGAGCCGAAAGCAGAGGCTGCAGACAGCAGAGGTGCCGCGGGGGGTTCGGCGCGCCCTTGCCATCCCTTTCGACGCGCGCCGCCCGTCCCAGGCAAGAAATCATTTAAATCGACGTTTAATCACTTATCCCCTCCCGAGAAATCATTTAATCGACAAGTCAGTTCCTTTAAAGAGAACTTAAAAGTGCAGGTTCCCGCAGTTTGGCAGGTTGAGTTACACGTGTTAAATACTTCAAGTCTTCCCTAGATTCCCACGGGGGCTTTTGTTGCTCGGAATCCAAAATCTCTCCCGTGAGATGGATGCTGTGTCGTAAGCCGGAAAAACGCAACCAGTGGCAAGGGCTCGGTCTTTTCCCGATTTAAGGTGCTTTCTTGGTTTCTTTGCCAGATGAAATGAAAACAGTGACGTTGACCATTGGTGCACGTTGGCTGACGAATACCGAGGACGTAAATAAGGGTGTGTGCTTCTTTTTTTCCCCAAAAAACATTTCAAAACACCCGCGGCTGTTTCCTCCGAGAAAGGGAGCGCTGCTGCCCTGCAGGAACGGAGGGCGAGAGCCCCCACCGCAAAGCACATTCATTTTCTCGAGTGCTTTTCCCCCACAGAGAGGAGCCGGGAAGTGAACGGTGCTGTCGGAGATGATGCTTCAAAAAAAAAAAAAGGCACAACCCTATAGACGAAAAAGGCAGCACTGACTTCTCACTTCTGTCAAAGCTTTAGGATCCGAGAGGGCAGGAAACAAGCACTGCGCATCCCCGCCCCGGCGAACGCTGCGCTGGAGAACGACGCGTTGGCACTCAACATCGCATGGGGCCGCCGGGAGGGTCGGCGGCCTTCACCGGAGACCTGGGCTTTAACGCCATCGGGGAGAGAAACAAGGCTGACGAAACTCAGATACGCTCCAAGAAGCGGCTCAGACGGCGGTTAGCAAAACCAGAAAGCGCACGGCTGTATGTGGCGGACGGCGGCTGCCGGGGAGTGGCATGGTCCCAAGTTTTTCTCTGCCTTACGCCGAAGCAGAAACCCCATCGGCTTCCTGGCGACTCTTCCCTGGTCGAGGTTGGTCCATGGTCTTCCCTAGGAGGTCTTTTAACCGAAAGCACGAATATCCCTTACCATCGCTAAGAAAGCTGCTCGTTTAGTTTAAGGGGTGCAATTATGGAACTGAAGGTCTTCGGCTCACGCTCGGGGATGATCCGAGCTGCCAGAGGACGGGGTCGGACGCACGAGAAATCAACATGAAGCGGGAAGGGGCTTGGAATTTTAGCCCTTTGTCAGCAGAAACTGGGGCTGCCTCGGAGCTGGTTTTTCCCTTGTAGCTTTTGGCGTTCGCTGCAGGAGGAGCAGGAACAGGGACGGAAAAATCATCTGCAGGGCCTGGCCATAGAGTCCCTCAAGCGACCCCGCCGGCTGCGTGCTATCGCAGCATCGCCCCACAAATCCATCCCTTCTTCACCTTTTGAGCCTCCTAAGCTCGGAGCAGCAGGTCCCGACCACACCGCGACTTCCTGGGGAAGGAATAAGGAACTTTCGCTTCCCCTTGACCCCAACGGGCAGTTTCTCCCCCTAAAAGGCTCCCAGGTCCTGCTAAATAGAGAGCAAACCCCAAAATAACAGTTCTAAAGAGCTCCTTCAGGAGAAAAGCCTGGGTCCAACTCAACCTGTGACAGCAGCCGCGGCGGCGGCGCTCCTGGCAGTCCCGGCGTGGGAAGCGGGGACCCGGCAGCAGGACCGGCTGGGGGGGGGGGGGCCCGGCGTGGGGCGGGGACCCGGCAGCAGGACCGGCTGCGGGTTGGGCAGAGGAAAGGCCACAAAACCTCCTCTGGGTGCTGAGCCACGGGACAGTTTTAACGGTCTCGATAAGAAAACTACACACGACAGCCGGCACCCAAAGAGCCACTGCCTGCGACGATGCACGGGGACAGGCACCGAGCCCCGGCGCCTGCACCAACGCCTGCGGCTGCCTCTGCTGTGGAGCAGCCGGGAGCTGGGATTTGGCCACAGTTGCAAGGGCAAAGCCCCTCTTCGAGAAGCGCTCGGGATGCGGAAAGGTGGCACGAGGCGGGCGGACCTGCCGAATCGGCTCCGAAAAGCCAGGCGGTCGGCCAGCTGGATGGGGAGTTGGCCGGGCATTTGGGAAAATGCCATGACAGAGGGCATGGAGACCCTGCAAAGCTTCTCCCCCACCGTGTTGGGCATCCTTTCCCTTGAACCAGCCTCCTCCACGGGGAAATCCTGTGCTGAATTCCCCCCCCCCCCGGGCCACAGCCGGGTCTTTCTTGGCCGAGCTCCTGAGGTCACCTCCTGCCCGGTGGGAGAAGGAATAAAGCAAAGGCTCTGCCTTCGCCTTCTCCTTGGCTCCAGCCGGGAGCCCAAAGCTGCCCCCGCTGGCCTGGCTCACCCCTATCCGGCCGAGTCTGCATTGCCCCTTCTTTATCCCATGCCCTGTGTTTGGGTAAAAAAAGTAAAATAAAAACAACAACTAAAAAAAAAAAAAAATTAAAAATCAGAGATGGAGAGTGCAGCCAGGACGGTGGGAAGGGCCGTGCCGCGAGCGCGGCGGCCTGTGCGTGGTGTGCGCTCCCCTGGATCCGTGCACTGCGGGGGGGGAGTCAGTCCCTTACCACCGCCAGGAGCATCTCCTCTCCCGAGCGGAGATTTCACATTCATTTCACTGGTATGGCAAAGTCCGTTTGCTTTTTCCTTCAAGGTGCTTTACATTCAAGAGCTATTGCAATCCACAGCGAGGAAACGGGGCCAGGGAGATACCCCAGCCCCCCAGGTTCTCTTGAGTTTGATTATTTGATTTAAATAAACTGCCCAAAACCTCTGAGGTTTAGTTCATCTCCGAATTTTGGGGAACTCGAAGGGGGCCGGTGGCTCCCAGCCTTAGCTCTCCCGTGGGTCGCTGTACTGAAGCTCCGAGTTGAAGACCTCCTTATAGAGGGGTGGGAAGTTCATGGCGGTTTCTGGGTGCAGGAGACGGAAAAATTCCAGCTTGTCCAGGTGCAGGTTGCAAGGTGGGAAGTATGGCGGTTTCTGGGTGCAGGAGACGGAAAAATTCCAGCTTGTCCAGGTGCAGGTTGCAAATGGTCTTCATCAAGGGCAGCTTGGAAACCATCTGCGGGGAAAGGAGGAGCTGGAACCAGTGACCACTCAGTTCCCGGCCAGCATCCCTCACACCACCGTTCCCCCTCCCCTGGGGACAAGCCGGTGGGTTTGGCGACCACTGGCTCAGCCCGGTGCCGGGAGCACCAGAGGACACCCCCCCACCTTCGGGCAGCCTGGCAGCAACGTGGCCTTGCCTCCAAACCCTCATCTTTCCGCAGGAAAACCAGCGCCTGGGAGGGCATGAGGAGCCCCTCAGTGCCCCCCATCCCCGTCCCAGCTCTGTCGTGCCCAAAGCGTTCCTGAAACGGCTCCTTTTGCCCCAAACCCCCACTGCCCAATGCACCGCCGGGCTCAGCGGCGTGGGGCTGCCTACGGCGCGGCTGCCTCCGCCTGCACCGCGACGGAGATGCGCGGCCCTTGGAAAGAGAATTTCTCCTTCAACAAGTCCCAGGGCTCGGCCCCCCAAAAAAATGCCCGCGCGTGGCTAATGAGCTGCAGCACAGCCACATCCACCGGTTCAGACATCTCCCCGTGGCACACGTGCCGTGCCCCGGCCGGGCTCCCCGTACCGCACGCAGGCAGCGCCGCTACCTTCGAGAGCTTGTCCTCGGCGGAGTGTTTCTTCTGGATCTCGTGCTGCAGGGCCACGTAGATCTTGTCCTGGAGCTTCTGCACCTTCTTGGACTCGGTCAGCCACGGGCGATCTACGGGAGACAGCGGGTGGCCGGGTCAGGGCCACCACGGGGGTCTCCCCCGACAC